CGTGAACCCAAGATGGGACCCCATTGGTTCATATGCCGTGCCTCTGGATTGCTTCCTGAGAGGATGTAACTCACCATCGATGTTCGGAGGATGGAAACAGAAAGGTCCATGAGTCCATGGTTCCAGAACTCAAAGCAGGATGCAACGCCCAGCGACAGAAATCTACAGGACGGTCCCTAAAGATGGATGTGCGCGTTGTTCTTCTTGTCGATCCAGGATCCAAAACTGAGTCCAACTTCCAACCAGTTCTGTAAATTGTGGTTCCCCCAAATCACATCCCAACCTTTGTCGAACTGGAGCGCTTCAAGGTCTTTCAGGAAGCCCCTTGAATTGGACAGTTTAGAGATTCGATGGGACTGGAAATATTTCTTCGCTTTGGATGGTCGGCACCTTGCGAACAGCTCAGAGTCTGCAAGCTTCTCTTTGCGGTGTCCGCCAGTTACGGCCTTTGCTATGCCTTCTTGGTGTGACGGGGGTGTGCTAAGCTTTGCCCAGGACTCGAGCACTGGGGTGCATCAATTGGAGCAGTCATCGTTTCAACCGATTCCACCTGACCTCTTGGAGTTCAGCGTCGTCCTTCTGCTCCCCGTCCCGGATGGACGGTCGGATCTCAGAAGACAGCACCTGTGGGCGTGGTCGAAGTCCACGCGGGAACCGGGTGTCCGGGGACAGAACCGAACCGCCACATCACCAAGTGAAACAAAGTCTGGATGCATACGTGTACTGGTCTTTAAAAGCTATCTCACCATTGCTTGAAAACAATCATAAGATCAAAAGAAATCGCCTGTAAATCAGCTTGCACACGGTGCCCAACGGATCCGCCCGTGCCATCCCCACCTGCCACCGACCGCGCCACGCCAGTCCGTCCGTACCATCGCGAAATGTCGCTTCGATGTGGATATTGGTGGGTCAAAACAGTCCAACACCTGCACGCCGGGGAACTCTCACGCCTGGGAGAGAGGTTCTTTGTTTTACTTTGTGTTTGCGTGTTTAAGTTCCAAGGCAAAACATGTTGATGTTGGTTGGAATCTTGGGTCGGAGACACCAAGAGCATCGAAACATCTCCCAGCATCCGTTTTCCGCCAGCCTGGCGGTGGATGAGTCTGGTCCATCACGGCTGCCAGATCCTAAAATCGAGTCAACATGCGAGAAGAAGAGCAAGTCGGTGTGATTTGGGTTTAGTTCTTTGAGTCAGAAAATGGGTGGCGCATTTAAGGAATCAGAAAACCTCCAAGAGACCCCCTGGAAGAAAAATAGACCCAAACCCACTGCTTGGGTGTTTTTGAGGTCCCCCTATTTACTAAAGTACACACCCATGTGGACTACACTCTGACTCTGGCCTGCCTGCGCCCCACTGTTGCTGCTGCTGATGCAGTACAGCTAGCATCAGACGCTCGCATCAGACTGACGTGGTGTATACCCTATCTAGGAGAGAGGGATTCCAGCCACCCTCCATCCAACAATGCAGAAAACACTCCCGATGCCCACAGACCACCCGAAGACAAAGGATCTCTAGTTACGCTTTTCAAGCTGCACCTGGCAGTAGAAGCACATGTCTCGTAGAACCGCAGAATCATCACCTAGCTGTGGGTCAAACTTCAGAGCCCCAAACCAGGGTAGGTTGACCTCCTTAGTAGTCTGTTCTCTTCATTTCGGTGGTCAACCGAGGTACTCCGGTGCCAAGACTCACAGCCGGTGACATTCCATCAATGTGAACCCTCAGGTGAGGCACCCTGATGGCCCAGGGGGCTGCAACCCCTTCAGAGGCCTTGGCTGCTGATGAGGGTGTTTCTCTCATACTTCTTGGGGAGCTGTCCATGTGTCCAGGAGTCGCAGAAGACTATGGAAGAGAAAAAAAACACCGCCAAGCAATTCGCCATTCCCTAGGAGCAATTCATCAAAACAAATCAAAAGAATTTCCACCGTGTCACATCGGTGCTCGGGTGGGGTTCTCGGGCCTCACGCCCGCCCCACACCGGTCCTGCACGCTCTGCACCGCGTCAACCTCGAAGCTTGGACCTGTCGACGTCGACGTCGACCGGTCCCGTTCGGTGGCGAGCCGAGCCGAGTTGAGAGTCTGTTGAGGTGTGTTTTAAGGTTGAGGGTGTGTATTTTTGGGGATGGAATTAGAGGAATCCCTCTTGAGATCCTGCAAAATCTGAGAAATGTGTTGGTTCTTTTCATCCAAATGTTGAACCAACATCTAACCATCGCTACTAACCTTCGAAGCTCAACGACTTCACCGCTCTCCCTGCCTGGAGTGGGCCCCAGCTTGTCGTCCGTGTCCTGCGTCAGTGTATGGCGTCACACTCGAAACCCGGGTGAACCAAAAAGGGAAAAATACATCGACCCGCAAATGGACTACACTGAGACTCACGAACATGGAAGTGGACCAAAGAGTCTTCCAAGGGTTTCCACTTCCATGTTTGTGAGTCCGAGTGCACATGTCGAGCCTCAAGCTCTTGTTTGGTGTCTTTTGTCTCACACCAATCAACTTGACTCCGCTCTGGACTCCAACTCCAGCCCACCTCTCCGACGTCACACGAATTGGTGAGACACCCCTAGCCCTGGCTGGGTAGCTGGTCAATGGTCCAAACCCAGAAAAGCTCGGGACGCCTTGGTGTGGGAGGCCACCAACTTGGAGATACACACCCAGAAAAACCTGGATCTTCCAACTATGCTAAATTTCTGGTTTTATAGCTGAAAAGGCTGACATGTTGTACAGTTGGAAGATCCAGGTCATTCTACTGAACTTACAACTTGGACTTAGTAGAGTTCTGTAAGCCTGTTGAAGCTTCGATTCCTCGGACCAGGTCGGACAGGGCTGCTGTTTTTGTTGGCGATCACCTGTAGCTTTTGCCACAAAATGGTGGAAACGGTGACCCACCTGGCAGTGGGCTTACTGCAATGGCCATCATTGCGCTTAGCGCACGTTGGCACTGCATTGGATGAAAATCACTCATGACTCAGTAAACAGCGGAAGAATGTTCATTCACAAAGACATGACTGTTTGACTGTTTAAAATCAACCGGGACTTTGACTAGTTGATTCTCCACAACACAAGTACTGTGTAGTAAATAGCCATGTGTGAAGTCGAGCGCAAAAACGTCGGTGCGAAGGTCTGTTTACGGTAGTCGTCATCCCGCTTTTCGCAGAAGAATGGGCCCAGTCTGGACGGTCCATTGAAAAGCATCTAAGAAAGGTGAGTGGGCAGAACCTTTCATCATCTTTCATCTAAACCTTTTATCTAAACCAGGCCAACCACCACGGTTGTGGAGACTGTGCCCGTCCCACACACCAATCATTGGCACCACGAAGCACGCTCCGGCCCGGCCGCTTGGTGTCCTCAAAAGTAAAGTGAGGGCCTGCGGGGCGGGGTGCGGTGAATATCGGCAGTGAGATGTATCTCCTTTTCAGGGGTCTGTGAAAGAAAGAGATGGAAGGAAGGTGGTGGTATCATCCTGTCGTATTAGTATTAGTTCTTCAAACTGTTAGTCTAACTGTTTGACAGTTAGACATCTGCAAACACGTGATAACACAAGAAACAAGCACTCATGGGACCACGACCACAGTTTCGCCGGTGTGCCAAGTTGCCGACAGGGTGCGTGCAAACAGGGTCTGTCGTTGCGGTCGAAAGACACCACCAACTACACCCTCAACTGAAGTTGCAAACGAACATCCTTAAAACTGACAGACCAACAACCAACCGAACAACATGAAGCACATATAATTGATTAAAATATATATATATATATAAAGAACATGCAATAATTCCTTTTTGTCCCTTACAAACCAGTGATTTCCAGCTCCATGTTGACATGTTGGTCAGCATTGGTGGCAAACACAGCAAAATGTCTCTCGGTTTAGGCTTGGGGTCATGTCCATCACCCGGTCCCCATCCCGATCTCAGCCAAACGTGGCTCACAAACCCCAAACGCGGCCGTCATGTCTTCCAGGTAGGAAAAACGAATCGGGACACGACGGGAAGATGTCCGTCGTTCACTCCGTCCGTTCACTCCAAAACCGCTCGGTTTCGCAAATTCCTTCGGTTTCAGAGGAGTGAAGACAGAGAGCGAGGTTCCCTGTTTTCCCCAGATAGTAGCAATGTGGCCTCCAAGCTAATAGCAATGGCCTCCAACCTAAGAGATGCATGTGCTTTACAAACCTGCAAGTTTTGCCAGGAAATGTGTCAAGTCTCTTTCTTTGCATGTCCGCTCTGAGTTTCCGGGAGCTGGTCAAACGTCCGGCCAAACGGGCCAGCGAACGCAGACCGGTGGCGCGAAACGCGTTTCGCCTTCGTTGTGACGGTCTCGGTGGAGCACTCGATCCAAGAACCTAAGCGGTCGGATGCACTGGAAGAGCTGGAGGAGCTCCACGGTCTCGGTGGAGCTTCTGATGTTACATCTATGTGTAGAACACGGATCTTATAAGAAAGCACATAAGAGAGTGGGGGACTTATACAAGACCGTGCTATAAGAACACCAAACTTATAAGAAGCTCCTTCTATGTGTTATAGGTTTTTTCTTTAAGAGAGTGGGGGACTGTGAGAATGCAATTCTTGATCTAAACGCAGTGACTTGATGCTGGTGGATACCACATTCTCATGTCATGACTTGGTTGTTTGACCGGGTGAAAGAGACCTCATCGGTCCGTCTGGCTTTACATGGTTTTACGGTCTGCCCTGAAAACCCCAACAGAACAGGGTCCCAACCCGTGAACATCGTGATGTGAATCAACAAAGGCCATCATGCGTGAGCTCAAATTCGTGTGTTTCCCGTAGATGTTCAGACTTTCATGGACATCTTATGGTCTGAGAATTGTGAACTGCAACACCTGCAGTCCTGGGCAGTCCTTCAGTCTAAACCGTCTCCACCGTCTCCACCTTCTCCAAGGCCAGATACAAACAAAAGTCACACACCAATTCTGTGCTTCATCAACACTGAAAGGACTTTCCAACCTCCACCTCCAAAAACTCATCGAACCATTGTTGGATATGGATGCACAACGAGTCCCACACGAGTCACTCTTTTCGGCCGTGAAACCGCCGTTCCGTCCGACCGTCGGGCCTATGTGGGTCGTGCCGACGGTTCAGCCGCGCGGGGACGTGCAGCGGATCCTGTGCCGGATCTTTGCATTCGCAGAAGATCTCAGCCAGCCCGGACACGTTGCAAACTTGGTGACGCTCCAGGTGTGTTGACAAACGAGAAAGGGGAACTACTTTGAAGTAACTTCTACAATGGTCACCTGTCCAGAGTTATTTAGATCCTCCCAAAGGTCGAAAAGGGCACCGAACCTGCCGAACTCGAGACCTGACTTGCTGTCCCTCCTCACTCCACACCCTGCTGGTTGTCTGCAGCCTCTTTGGGCTTTGCTTGGGTCACAATCCCCAGTTCGAGATCTGCTGGCTCCATGTAGAAACATTGCTGCCAAAAACGTTTGGTGGTGGTTCTCCTTCTGGCTTTCCTCCCTCCACTTGATCTCGATCTAGACGGGATGGTGACGAGCACCAGTGGCTGCGAGCATGTCATCAGTGGCTGTTACAACAAGCAGCGATATACAAATACGCTTCTGGCACTTCTGATGTTGCGGTGTTCACTTTTCCGCCGCCACGCCACGCCAGGAAGCGCCGGTGACCACAGATCATCTTAGCGGACTCCGACCGATCTCCGCTCGTCTCCGATCTCTCGTCTCATCTCCGCTCGTCTCGTCGAGACGGAGGCCGCACTTCCTTCTGCTTTTTTTCTCCCGTACGGGCATCCTGGAAGTACTTGGCCATCCCCTCCAACACGTGTCCGAGGCGAATGATGGCCGCCCACCGGCGGAGGTGGTCAAGCTGGCCGAGCCCAAATCAAGGGGCAGGGCCTGAGGGCCGTTTCTCGGGGAAACGCCTTCTCCTCCACATGCAGCTTCTCTTGGAACTGAGAAAAGCCTTGGAGCGTCTTTATTCAGATATCGCTTCAGATCACCAGTCGCTGTACTGGCCACTCCGAGCCCTTCAGGGTTTTCTTCGATCGGCTTCAGCCTGTCTCATGCTGGGCATGTGAAAATTCCACATTCTTCGAGGCTCGCCACCAACATCACTCAGATCTTCCGGCAATCTCATGGCCCCACATCTGTCCAGGTGCCTGCACCAGTCCTGCAGTCACTGTTGCAAGCTTCCCAGAGCGCCTCAAGGGCCCTCCCCAATCAACACGCGCCCGCTCGCTCCGCGGCTGGCGCCACGGACCATCAACTCCAGCGCTCCCTCCTCGCGGAGCGACCCGGTGGCTGAAAAAATGGGAAGACACAGACTCCATCTCTGTGAAGATTTCAGATTTGGTTCGAGTTTCAGGATGAAAAGGGTCAGTTCGGTTGAGAAGCGACGCTTCAGAACATTCCCCATGGCTTTCTTCCGTGGATTCTAAAGACCGACAAACAAACACCGCAACTGTTCTGAGGAGGACTGACTCTCAAGGTGCACTTGGCATGATTGAAACGCCGTACTCGTCCAGGACGGGAAAAGGAGATGCCGTACTCAGCCGATTGAGCAAGGAAGTAGCACTATATGTAGTAAGGTGGGAGCGGTTTCAAATCGTCCCTGCCTCCTTGGCAGATTTCGATGGCAGGCGCTCGGCTGACAGTGCAGGCGCTCGGCTCCAGCCCAAGGCCTTGGTCTCCAGCTGACCGAAGTTGGTCTCGGAGGCCTTGGTTCTTTGCCCAAACATGGCAGGGCAAAGAGTAAGGATGGGTGAAAAACCACCCAGGAAGTTTTGGCGGGGCCAGCAAATCATCAAGTGGGACACACGAAGGGAAGAGTAAAAACTGACAATCTTATATACTATAAGCGAATAGCAAGAAAATGACTCCTTATGTGTATATATGTAATATATAAGCTGTTGAATGTGTCATCGACTTTTTGGGATGATTATAGCTCATGCCTCAAAAAATCAATATCAGACTTTCACCATCTCAGCAGCTGTCCCAGACTCCCCATGCAGCAGCCGTCGCCATCGCTGGCGCGCTGACAACTTAGATTGAGTGACTTGGCCCCACAAGAAAGCCTCCAGACCTGGCGGATTTGCAGAAACTCACCAAAAAATCACCTGGATCTCTTTGCACAACAAGTGCTTTCCTTTTTCTCAAGAAACATGGCGTCCAGCAAGTTCCACCAAAAGGGGAAAGCAAACTCAGACTTCTCAACCTTTCATGGGTTGTGGCATATTAATATGTCTCCCTTCCGCTCCAATGAGCACGCAAGCACCCTTGTTTTCTG